ACAAACACACTAAGCTTGTTTGAGACAAGCAAGACCTGCGCAGTTGCGATCAACGTCTTGCTAGTGCGTTGCATGATGGTTAGTCATTTTGTCCGACTTGCTCTGGAGGCTCGCCCACATGAGACGTTGAAATCTCGCGGGACAAAGACGCCCGCAGCCTTGAGAGCGAGGCGCGGCGAGGCGGCGCAGTTCCTCTCCACGGGCTGCGGAAGCGAAATGCTTGATGGGAAACGACTCGCTGGTATCTCGAGCTGAGCGCTCATTGGTGGTTTTTTCCACGTGCTGGTGATGAAACTCTCCAATTGGCTCGGCAAAAGTTTGTTGTTGTTTTGTGTATTTTTACGTCGCCACTTCCATTCACATTTTTCATCATTGTTCCACAATATTTATCATCATTAAATTAATATCCATATATTTTATACTATACTTGCACTGCTTACCGTTTTCATACTTGATATATCTTAGCATATTCATACACACTGTTCATACTGCTCTCAGGCTGCTGTGTATATCTAGTGTATTCATACCCCTCACTGTTTATTCATCATTCAATTCATTCTATATTTTATTCTGTAGATTGTGTACATTACTTTTCACTTCACTGCTTTTTGCACCTGGTTAGAAGCTAAACTGCATTTTGTTGTCTCAGTGCCTGTAATATGTGCAATAACAATAAAGTTGAATCTAATCTTGAGCAGGAACAAATGTATTTACTTAGTACATATCTGACATTAACGATTAAACACATGTGTGCATTCTTTATAAATGCAAACCGAGTCAAGCCGACTCCGGGGGTGGCGGTATGCACCTTCAAGCTGTTTGCAATCCGCCAAAAAACCGAGAGAAGAAGACGACGAAGCCGACTCCGAGCTGTCCGACTTCAGGCAAGCTTTTTGAGACCTCCCCCGGCTGCGATCGGCTATTCTCGTCTACTTTCGAGGCGAGCCGCAACGCGTCTCAAACAAGCCTAGACACTAGGCAGCCTTCTGTCTCATGCAGCAGCTGATCCAGTAATGAGTGACCCGGCCGACAGTAAAAATAAACATATTTATAACTAGTTTAGGTAGTTTGAGAGGTGTCTCCGTCCTGTCAGATTAGACTTCACTCGCGTTTATGTCCATATCGAGAGAAAGATAAATAATCTGAATTCAGTGTGCAGTTTACTTTGACGCGGGGGTGAGCAGCAGAGGTGGGGAGAGGCGGGGCTATTGCGCAATCATTATCAGAAAATGATCGTATAGGGCGTACACACGGAGCTGTTTGACCCCCCAGAGCGTTGCATTACATTACATTGCATTTAGCTGACGCTTTTGTCCAAAGCGACTTACAATAAGTACATTCGACCAGGAAGACACAACCTTGAAGAAAACAGAATCATATAAGTATATCAGGTTTCATAGAGCCAAACATTTCAAGTGCTACTCAACTGGCTTTAGGTAATCCAGTCCTTTATTAGTATAAAAGTGCTTCGTTAATCGTTCTAACGCTCGAAGTGGAGTCGAAAGAGATGAGTTTTCAGTTTGCGCCGGAAGATGTGCAAGCTATCTGCCGTCCTGATGTCAATGGGGAGCTCATTCCACCATCTTGGAGCCAGGATAGCAAACCCACGTGTTTTCGCCGATGGGAACTTGGGTCCCCCTCGCAGCGAGGGCGCAACGAGTCGTTTGGCTGATGCAGAGCGTAGTGCACACGCTGGGGTGTACGGTTTAACCATGTCCTGGATGTAGGAAGGGCCAGATCCATTCGCAGCACGGTAAGCAAGTACCAGTGTCTTGAAGTGGATTCTAGCAGTTACCGGAAGCCAGTGAAGGGAGCGGAGGAGCGGAGTGGTGTGGGAGAATTTAGGAAGGTTGAAAACCAGACGAGCCGCTGCATTCTGGATGAGCTGCAGAGGTCGGATGGCACATGCAGGTAGACCAGCCAGGAGGGAGTTGCAGTAGTCTAGGCGTGAGATGACGAGAGCCTGGACCAGAACCTGAGTCGCTTTCTGAGTCAGCTGGGGACGTATCTTCCTGATGTTGTAAAGCGTGTATCTGCAGCAGCGGGTTGTAGCAGCGATGTTTGCAGTGAAGGACAGGTTGTTATCTAGGGTCACACCCAGATTCCTTGCAGTCTGAGTCGGGGAAACAACTGAGGTGCCGATGTTGATTGTCAGGTCAAGAGTTGGACAATCTTTTCCCGGGAGGAAGAGCAGCTCAGTCTTGTCAAGGTTGAGCTTGAGGTGGTGAGCAGACATCCACTGAGAGATGTCAGCTAGACAAGCAGAGATGCGTGCGACGACCTGGGTCTCTGAGCGGGGAAAGGACAGAATTAATTGGGTGTCGTCAGCGTAGCAGTGGTAAGAAAAACCATGCGGGCTAATGACTGATCCGAGCGAGTTTGTGTACACGGAGAAGAGGAGGGGACCAAGAACAGAGCCCTGAGGGACCCCCGTAGTTAATTGACACAGGTCGGACTCAGACCCTCTCCAAGTCACCCTGTAGGTACGGTCTTTCAGGTATGAGGTGAGGAGGTTGCGTATGCCGTTCTATCCACTTTGGGACCCGTTATCGTTTCCTCAGTCGTTTAGTGCAGTATGCAGTGGTCCTCGTGTGGCCGAATGGTCTATATGACACTAAACAGTAACGCAAACGGCCGTTTTTGTCCTCGTGTGGCTGCAGCCAGTACAGCAAAGTACTCGGTGTGAACGCGGCTTATGGGACGCCCTGCCCGTTGAAAACTGACTTCCAAGGGGTACCCTGTATGTAAATAGAGTGACGGGGAGGGGCCCTGACCGTCCGTCAATATGTGACGGGTTGGGAGTGAGAACGTGTTGCTTCTGAAGCCATAGCCTCGAAATTGAGGGACCAAAATGACTCCGAACTCAAACAACCAAATCAATGACCAAAAACAAACTGTCTTCATCACACACATGAAAAAAAAAATCAAGGTTCAACTCTGTAACAGGAAGTTTATCACTGAATGTTCAGTCATATACTTTATATTAATTATGAATAAAATATTACATCTCATTGTATAGTATTCCCTTACATCCAACAATCATTTACACATATACAGTGTCAAACAACTTATCACACAACTATTGTATCCGGCATGCTTTCTTCACTATGTCAAGTGTACGAACTGCTTTTAATTAACTTAACTAGTCCAAAAGCAAAAGACGGTCCATAATTGAGTGGAACTGAGGAGAAGGAAATGGGACAGAGGGGAATAAAAAGAGAGCAAGAGCAGACATGACAGCCAGGGGCCTCGGGGGGGGGGGGGGGGGGGGGGCCTGCAGGGAGACGAGTCACACCAAATGTCTAATAAGAGTCAACGTGTTTGTGTGAGGCTGCAGCCAGCACAGTGTCTGATGGGACGCTGCAGTGTTTGGGCCAGAGAGTGGTCATGTGCGTGTCTGTTTGAGTGAATTCAACATAAACAAGACAGAAATAGCAGAGGTTAAAGCTCACATCTGACATGAAACATCCACCAGGCTGCCTTCAGGTGGAAAGGGAACTAGCTTAGCAGAATTCACTTTCCTGTGTGTGTGTGTGTGGGGGGGGGGGGGGGGGGGGGGGGGCAGTATTTACATGCCTAAATACTGCCAATTTAGGCATGTATTAAAAAAATACCTTTTTAGTGTCATGGTTTACACTCAGACAAGTATGATCCTGATTCAAAAGCTAGTGTCATAGTAAAGAAAATGTGGGACTATAAACAACGTTTTATTAAATAATCAAAGGTAACACGAGGGGTGGGTAATCGATTTACAATTGGACTTTTTAGAAGTTAAGTATTCCTTTAATTCTGCGACTGGTTGATAGGACTATGTGAACTGTGCACATGCTAATGATTTAGCATGCAGTGTGTTATGCAATGTTAGGTAATTGCAGATAAATATTAAAAACAAAAATGCTAAAACAGTATTTCGCAAGGTTCATCACTATCAGTTGTAATTTAAAAATAAAACCTATTTATAAGTGTGACTTTAAGTTGAATTTGAATAAACAGCTAATGAAACAGTTAACGGGGATTTCAAGTTATAATGTGTGGTATTTTACCAATCAATCAACGCATTACATTAAGCTATGTATAACTAATGATCTAGTATTAAAGTAGCTCGTTGACATTTAATTACAACATTATAGCCTTAGAGCTAACAGGGAAAAGATGAATCTGGTGTCAAACTCCCAAATGCCATTGCACCAATATGAGTTTAGAACTACTAAGACACCATATTTATCTTCCTGCACAAAATGTCCAAACAATTCATGTTGTTTGATCTACAAAGACACTCAACACCTCACGTTAAAGCCACTGGCTGCCAAGTAGAACCAACATGTATTTTTTACAGTAGAGTCTAAAGATCGAACAACTTAAGCTATTTAAAGTAGGCCTGATATGTGCTATCCCCTTTAAGATGTTTCGATGTAACGGGAAAGAAGAACAAGCAACAAAAACAGAGATTGGTATAATTCAATCAAGCATGAAAAGAGTCTCTACTGAAACGGGTACATGTAATGTACATATCTTATAAACATTTTTTTTTTTTTATATATGCTGCTGGACTTAGAACGACTTTGTCCAACTCAACCCTTAAAGCAGACTGCCTGCGAGGAATGTCTCGTCTTTTTTCTCCTTATTTTTTAGCAAATGGTGGCTGTTTCACCTGTTTAATACTCAGACTGTATGCATTAGCTTCCAAAAATAGATAGAGCATTTACATTCTGTATACAGACAGGTAGAGGTGAACAGGCTGGCAATCTTCTACTTTAAAAATGATTAGAGCTCAAAAGGTCAGCGTACATATTTAAAGGAAGTGCTCACACCAGCAGGATGTTGCTGCTGCTGTCCTATACATTTAATACAAACAATTTGATGCACTTTTTTTGGGCTCCAATATTTCTTGACCTGAAAAGCAGGTTGATTATTGTAAAAGATGCAATTTACACTGAACTGAATGAAAAAAACTACCACAAAATAATACGTTGTTAAAATTCCATTTAAATAGATGTTAGTTTACAAAGACGTTTGTGTGGGGGGGGGGGGGGTAGACAGATAGACAGGCAGCCAGTGCTCGCTGAAGGATGGAGGACAGGAATCTCACCCAAAAACAATCTATCTTTGAGAAAAAGCAGAAATGATATTCTTCCCTTAGCCTTCCCTGACCTTCATCCCTCTTCAGCACTTGTGGTCAGTAGTCAAATTCACATAAAACTAAACATTTACATGGAATACATGTACATAGAGTGCCATCATTATACCCTCAAAGCAGACAAGACAACTAAACAGAGTGGTATACAAGAACAAAAAAATAGTCTTCAAAAATGGCTGAAATAAAGATAGAGGAAACTTTTAAAGTACCGTTTGTGCACTATACAATCCTACATTCAATATTTGGCTTAAATGAACAAACTGGGGGAGCTGTGTGGGATCATTTTAAGACATATTCACCCTTAAATAAAATATAACACAAGCTCTTCCTATGTCACTCTGGAGGTGAACGACTGTTACCTATAAAATGATATGTTAAGAGGTCACGCTCTGAATTTTGAGGCTTCAGTGAAGTTAAAGCAAAGAGCTGGGGCTTCTTACCACATTATAGAACAATTAAACAATTTGGTATATTGAGCAGATCTGCAATAAGAACGCAAAAGACCACCCTCATTTGGTGATTCAGACCTCAAATACAGGCGCATTTTTACATTAAAACGTCATGATGCAGCTTTATATCCTCATCTGAAGAGTGCCTCCTACAGTACTGATGCTTTTAAAGCATACTAGGATAGAGCAGATGTCACATCAAGGGACTAAGTTCTGAATGCACATACACACACTTTCAAATACCCTTGAAAAGTTTCGGCCATATTTGTAAAGTTATGGGATTGTGTCTTGTTTTTCAAACGGGATAGATTGGATGGGATGAGGATTTTAAAGGCTTTTGGCCACTGAACCAATTAACTCCGAGTGTGTCCCACTGCATTTTTATAGACGCCTCATTACAAAATACAGTGTCATGCGTGTGTGTGTGTGTGTGTGTGTGTGTGTGTGTGTGTAGTGTGTGTAGTGTTACATCACTCAAGCCCTCCCTATTCTCTCTCTCAAACAAACACACTCGTATCTAGACAGATGGATGGATGTCTGCTGACCTCTGCCAACCTCCCATTCAACCTTGTCTGGATTCAGTTTGGAGGTTAGAGGTCAGAGACTTGATGCTAAACAATGATGCTGCGACAGATGTGTGTGTGTGTGTCAGGGTACAGTGTAATAGGATGATCACGCTCCATGAATGAAAGGCGTTAAAATAAATAGCCAACGCTGCAGCTCCCCTAGCTGGTCAGCTCCTGCCATTACAGTTAAAAACTAAACTTTTAAACCCTTTTGTTAAAATGTTGCCCTCTTTTACTCTGGAAAATGATCTCTCAGCGTTGTTTAAAAAAAATGTTATGTAGTACTTAAAGAACTCCATAGGCTTTGTTTTAAATAGTTCCTCATCTATTTCTAGGGAATAAGACCATTATGAATCTACTAACATCATATTACCATTAATTGCTTGGGTTAGCTGTATTTATTCTAAAAGGTTTCCCTCAACAAAGTCATCCGTTTTCAAATCCTGCTCTTCTCTCTGCACAGTTTAAAGCTTTCAAAGTGAATAAAATGTGAATGTAAAGCTGGTTTCTAACTACAGTAAAGCTTACTGACCAGACAATTTAAATGATGCTAAAAATAAGGCATCAGACGATATGACATTAAAAGCAAGACATAGACCGAAAAGTAAAAAAAGTAATGATTCTAATGAAATCTTCCAACAAAAAGGCATGTGCATCTGACAAAAGCAGCAAAATAAAAAATTATATAGCTCTGTAGACACGAACATAGCAGTCTGTAATAAAAAAAGGAATAAAATTAGTAAATAATTAATATCACTACTATCCCACATTATAATCATTATAGACCCCAGTTGAATGTAAGCATTTTCTTTTTACAAGTAATAGTTTTAACTGAACGACATCTCCGCCTCTGATAGGACAGGAGTGGACGAGGAAGTGGAATCAGCCAATGAGGCGGTGCTATTGTCCATGCTCCTGTTCCAGGGGCAGCGGTCGGGCGTGGAGCAGTTGGAGGGGGGGCCCGACCTGGGGCTGCCCTGGTTTGAAAAGGGCGAGTACAGGGCGTCTGTCCTCAGCCCTTTGTTGTGCAGCTCCACCTGGAGGTGCTGGCAGATCTCCTCCTGCAGGCGCTCATACTCCTGGTCCAGATCCCTCTCCAACTGAGACTGGAGCTACAAGAGAAACACAAAATACACCAAAATATAAACAAATATATTCAAACATTTAATACTATGGTGTCCTATGGTCTTTGTAGGTAACATGAAAAAAAATAATATATATATATATATATATATATGGACCCTGGGGAGGAGGATAATATTCCGGGGGAAAACGTAACATTTCAGATTAAATAGGCACATTTAAATACGGTTATTTATATAAACATAATTGAAATACGGTTATTTATATAAACATAATTGAAATACGGTTATTTATATAAAAATAATTGAAATACGGTTATTTATATAAACATAATTGAAATACGGTTATTTATATAAACATAATTTAAATACGGTTATTTCTTTGTCTGTTTTGGCCGATCCAAGCCACCGTACTGGTTTAAAGAAGCTGTCGTGGCGTTTTAATCCGTTTCTACATTTAATAGCCACTTTCCTCTATCGGGGTTGTGGGTTATGACGTGCCACTCTTTGCTTCCAAACAAACTTTGTGGAGAGCGTTGTAGCGTTGAATCACATCAGATGTATTCTTTGATCAAGGCGGCATACAAGCATGAAGACAAACTTCCTCGCTTCAAATTAACTAAAAGTTCTCCGTATCAAAAAAGAACAAAAAGAACACGGTCAAAAGACTATACCGCTTCCCGTCTAATCACACACTCAGCTGTGTACCATTGTCATGCCATATATAGGCATATAGACATGCACGTCATACCCGACAGCGCACATTTGACAGCAAATAAGTGACCCTTAAATGTATATCTTTTTAACTGTAGTGTGACCCACAAAAGTAAATAGTTAAGAGTTTACTCTAAAGCCTTATTCAAAACATTCAAACCATAAAGATGAAAGGAAAATGGCTCTAACAGAAGCAATATGGTCGCTTGACAAATGAGTGACTCAAAAAGTCATTTTAATCTCAGAGAACCTTCTATTTATTTTTTCTTGTTAATGCACAACCTTATTATCACCCCCCTCCCCCAGCTCCATAGTTATTCATTAATACCTATTGTACAATGACCCTGATTTGTTGTGGTACATCAATGTCAGTGTGAGTCGATGTGTTTTGCTCACCAGAGGAAGTTCATCATCTATGTGTTGCAGCATCTCCCGGTGCCTCAGCATCAGCTTGTCCTGCCTCCTGGTCTGAGCCGCCTCCAGCTGGGGGGGAGGAAATAAGAGAAGGAAGGGAGTAAGACATAGGAAGGAAGGAAGGAAGGAAGGAAGGAAGGAAGGAAGGAAGGAAGGAAGGAAGGAAGGAAGGAAGGAAGGAGACAATGGGAGGTACATTGGATGGGTGTCAGATGGGGCAGAAAAGGTTGCAAGGAAAGTAGAAATGGAGAATGGACAGACGGGAAGAAGAGCAATATGTAAGAGGGGATTCAAAAAGAAAGGATGAGGGAAGGAAGAACGGAGGATAAAATAGGCAGATTAGGGAGGAAGGGAAAAGAAGATGATGTGTGTGAAGAGGGGAGTAAAGATGATGACAAAGGCATACAAATGTACAATAAAGTAGATAAATGGCATTCCTCAAGGACTGACTGTGTGTGTGTGTGTGTGTGTGTGTGTGTGTGTGTGTGTGTGTGTTTCTTACCCCGCCGATTAAAGAGACAGAATCCTGAATATGTTTCCTGTTGATCTCATTCAATTCCCTAGAGAGAGAAATAGGGAGAGGAAGAGAAGGTGCAAGAGGTGTAAAGAGATGTGAATAAAAACACTGTTCCGACTGCCTTAACATGAAATGAAATCTTTAATTCCAGACGAGCTCATTACGTTTCTGCCTTGTCTTTGTCGCGGGTCTTGGCGTCGCTGATGCTGTTCTGTCGCTTCCTGTCCATGATCCTCTGGAGCTCTTTCTTCTCCCTGCAAGTACAATGATATTACATCCAACTGAAGACAACTTGCAATTACCAGAGGGGACTTTTCATGGGAACATTTTTGTGAATGTTATTCAAAAACAATGCTTGTGGCAAAACCAACAGTCCCAATATGGCATTATGGAGAAAACTAAGACCTATTGATGCCATAAGCAGCTGCACTTACTTCTCGCATGTCTCCTTGAGCTTCTTCAGCTGAGCTGCTTGGCATTCATTGGCCGTCTCCTTTAACTTCTTGAAGGCCTGAAAACAAACGGCAGCAGACGACCAGCTGTCATAGAATCGCTTTTTTAGAGGTCAGCTAATGAGGAGTGTTTGCATATTTAAGAATTCATGCAGGGGTGCTGTGTTATTCGAAGTGTGTCACCTTGAGCATGCAGAAGTATGCAAAGAATGGGGGAATGAATCTCTGTGTGTGTGTGTGTGTGTGTGTGTGGTGTGTGTGTGTGTGTGTGTGTGTGTGTGTGTGGTGTGTGTGTGTGTGTGTTTGTGTGTGTGTGTGTGTGTGTGTGTGTGTGTGTGTGTGTGTGTGTGTGTGTGTGTGTGTGTGTGTAACATAACATAAAAACAACAGAACAACAATAAGGATGACATACAACATAATGTACAGTTTACAAACTCTATTTACAGTGACAGGTACCATGAGTATCAAACAGCATGTCACCCAGCTGAGTTTTAAAATGATGCAGGGGAACCAAAGTGCTCAGTTTTAAACATGTTTGCAGACTGTTCCAAGTTAGTGGAGCTGCACAACTAAAAGCTTTCTTCCCTAAGACAGTCCTAGCACTTGGCACATTTAATAAAACAACATCATGAGATCTCAGGCAATACGTACTTTCAATTCGTCGAGAGATCAGAGAGCAGATATAAAAAGGTAGTTTACCCAACATGGCTTTGTAAATGAACATGTACCAATGACTGAGCCTCCGTACAGTTAGTGAAGGCAGACCTGCCTTGGCATACAGGGTACAGTGATGAGTAAGTGCTTTACAGTTAGTAACAAATCTCAGGGCACTGTGATAGGCGGCATCTAACTTTTCCAGGCAATGGGCAGGTGCATTCATATAGATCAAATCACCATAGTCAGCACAGGTAAAAAGGTCACAGTGACTAGCCTTTTCCTGGCTTCAAAAGAGAAACAGGACTTGTTTCTGAAAAAGAAACCTAGTCTAACCCTCAGCTTTTTAAGCAGATTAATGACCTGAAGTTTAAAAGTAAGACAATCATCAAGCCAGATACCTAGGTATTTATAACAGATAACCACTTCAAGTACTTGTCCTTGCATAGTAACAATATCCAAAACAGGCTCTGTAGTCTTTTTAGCTTTTGAAAATAGCATTACCTTGGTTTTATCAACATTTAAAATAAGCTTAAGTTCAGCAAGCTGAGTCTGAATAATGTTAAAAACAGCCTGTAATTTAACACCAGCCTCCTTAATGGAGGGACCTGCACAATACATCACGGTATCATCAGCATAAAAATGTAAAGTAGTTTCATCCACATTTTCACCTAAACTGTTGATATATATGGAGAATAAAAGTGGACCTAAAACAGAACCTTGAGGAACACCATTAGCAATGTTTAACCACTCAGAAGACAGCCCATCAAAGTGAACACATTGGGATCTTTCAGAGAGGTAGTTCACAAACCAACCCACTGCATGGCTGGATATGCCGATACTGAGTAGCCTCTGCTTTAAGATGCGATGATCGACGGTATCAAACGCTTTGGACAGGTCAATAAATAGAGCTGCACAACTCTGCTTATTGTCTAAAATACTCGTAATGTCATTCACCACTTTCATTGTGGCAGTGATGGTGCTATGTTGCTTTCTGAAGCCTGACTGATGTTTAGACAGGATATCATTTTTACATAAAAACTCCTTTACCTGTTCACTCACTAGGCGTTCGAGCACCTTCGCCAGAACTGATCATTTAGAGATTGGCCTATAGTTATTTAAAATAGTTGCCTCCCCTCCTTTCAGTAAAGGCAAGACATAAGCTGACTTCCATACTTTTGGAATTGCATTTGTGCTGAGGGAGAGGTTAAAAAGAGTAGTAAGAGGAAGAGCAATAAAATCTGCAGCTATCTTTAAAAAGAAAGGTTCTACGTTGTCCGGGCCAGCCGGTTTCTTAGGATCTAGCTTAGATAAGGCTTCATGAACAACATTGACAGTAAAAGGAGTAAAACTGATAGGGTTTTCCAGACCACATTGTTCAGAGTCACGGATTGGGGTGTTCACAGCAGCAGAGTTAGTGACAAAATCAAACATAGAACCGCAGGACACAAAATGCTCATTAAAGCAATTTAACATAGTGGCCCTGTCCGATATAGAGCCAGATGCTGTGGTGAGGCACGGAGGTAGCTCATTACGGATCTCACCGGTGGATATCGATTTTATTGCTTTCCAAAATTTCCTAGGATTATTTAGGTTTTCTGTGGTAACTGACAAATAGTACTTCGACTTTGCACTTTTGACATTTGAAGTGAAGCTATTCCTTAGCTGCCTAAAACGCAGCCATTCTACCTCTGAGCCTGATTGCCTAGCCTTAGCCCAGGCCTTGTTTCTCTCATGAAGGAGACTAGACAGCTCAGCAGAAAACCAAGGATTGTCTCGTCCCTTTACTCTAAATGTACGCAGGGGTGCATGTCTATCAATGATCTCCATAAAACCAAGATAAAAATAAGACCATGCGGTTTCCACATCAGCACACAGATCGATTTTACCCCAATCAAAATCAAACAGATCATGCACAAAACCCTGCTCAACAAATGTTTTTTGTCTCTCTTAATGATAATGCGAGGTTTAACCTTTTGGACCTTAGTGTCCCTAATTGTGGCTACAACACAGTGATCGCTCAGATCATTTGCAAATACTCCCACAGATGAATATTTATGGGGAACATTAGTTCAAATGAGATCAATTAGGGAGGATTTATTAGGGGACTTAATGTTAGGGCAAGTAGGACTGTCAACAATCTGAGTAACATTCAAAGAGATACAAAGGTTTTTAAAATCCTCTGACACTGCAGTTAACCAGTCCCAGTTAAAATATCCAAGTAGCACTATTTCCTTGTAGTCTAGTTGTGATAAAAGATTTGCTAGTGAAGACAAGGAGTCTTTCACAGCTGAGGGGGGTCTGTAACAACTCACTACCATGACCTGTTGACCCTTTGCCACTTCTATATTTATGGCTAAAAATTCAAATTGCTTACTGATCGATTTGGAAACTACAGCGGTTACACTGAACTTATTCTTAACATAAATGGCAACGCCACCACCTTTATTAGGCCGGTCGGTACGATACACATTAAAACCATTTAAGGCAATGTCAGAGGCCAAAATAGATTTGTTTAGCCATGTTTCTGATAAGACAATGACGTCAGCGTCAGTCGATTTTGCGGCATGAAACCCAACCCAGACCTAGCTTTAAAATCAGCAGGAGTAGCGATCTGACTACTACTACTGGGCGGACCAGGGTTAGGTTGAACATTTCCTGACAGTAATAACAACAACAAAACCAAGCATCTGTGTGTGTGTGTGTGTGTGTGTGTGTGTGTGTGTGTGTGTGTGTGTGTGTGTGTGTGTGTGTGTGTGTGTGTGTGTGTGTGTGTGTGTGTGTGTGTGTGTGTGTGGTGTGTGTGTGTGTGTGTGTGTGTGTGTAGTGTGTGTGTGTGTGTGTGTGTGTGTGTGTGTGTGTGTGTGTGTGTGTGTGTTGTGTGTGTGTGTGTGTGTGTGTGTGTGTGTGTGTGTGTGTGTGTGTGTGTGTGTGTGTGTGTGTGTGTGTGTGTGTGTGTGTGTGTGTGTGGTTACCTCCTGCAGGTGTGTTTGCTGCTTTTCCCGCTCCGGTAGGTGAAGCTGCTGTCGGAGTTTAAGGAGTTCTTGCATCTGCCACTCCCTCAGCTGGACCGACTGCTTCTCCAGCTCCTGATCCAAAGCGGTTAGCTCGCGCTGCACCGGCTCATTGGGCTCACTGAACACACAATGAACTCTGGTTAAACACACAGTATGTCATGTTCTGCCACTAGTTGCCTTCACCACCATTCTGGAGGTGTTGACCCTGAGCTGAATTATCTGCTGAGATCTTCTCCTCCCCAAAATATAGACCTTTGATTAAACCCGATAAGAAACGGTGAATAAATATGTTTTAAATAATGTGAGTTTCTCCGGTGCCTTACACAGCTTGTGTCTCTGATGATTTAAGATTCTGATGTGCAATGACTTGAATCACTCATCTGGTTAAAATATACAGTTAAAGAACAACCTAGATCGAACAGGGTTTGTGAGAAATGTGGCTTTAAATTGGACAACAACTCACTTTCTGACAGCTTCTTGCAGACGACACAGACACATGCTTAAAGGGAATAAGACCCCATTACAGAAGACCAAATAAAAAGGCACCGTTACCAGTTTAAATTACAGATTTTTGTTGGAAACATTTGGGTTGATGCAAGTACACAACAATTGAAATAACATTTGTGAACTCATTTAACACTGAAATATGAAATATTATACCCTTAGGTCAGCCTATTTAGATCCATCTATCTTTATAATATCAATCTATTCTTATTTTTCATCCAATCTGTTTCTCCTTCCCGCCCTAATTTACGATCTAATGTTTGATCTACTGTTCTTTCTTCACACACACACTTACTTCTTCCTGATGCTCCGTTTGAGGTGTTTCTCCATCTGACTGCGTCTCCTCTGGGTGTCAGACTGAAGCTGGCTGCTCCGACTCTTCTGCTCCTTACTCAGATTCCACACCTACAAACACACGGGGACATTTTAAATCATTTGTTTTGCCGAGGAAAATTACATCACACGGAAAAATATAAATCCTATGGATGGAAGAGCATGTTTCTGTGTATGTACCTTTTTGAGGTGCTTCTTTCGGATCTCTTTGAGTTCTTTGCTTTGTTTCTTTTGGAGCTTCAAGTAGCCCTTCTGCTGCTTCAGCTCCTCTATAGACTGGACCTGGATGTCTGACAGAAAGAATTATAACCAATTATCATATCATTCCATTTGAATAATACTGACAAGACCTGCTAGTTTGTCCAAGTGATGATAGGGAATGAATGCTAGTTTGACCTTACCTGCCAGGACAGTGGCTATGAGGTCCTCCTTTGGACTTTGTACTACTACACACGCATGCAACAAAAAGAGAAGGAGACGCACAGACAGAATGAGTGAAATGGAGATGGGAGAATGAACCAGGAACACATAATTGTGCCTAATGCAACTAAGAAATAGCTAAACACTAAAAAGCTTCCAATAAATGACATGCATGATTTTCACAACACAGTGAGTGGATGTCTGTACTGTTAATGGTCTCTTAATAAATGATACCTGCAATCTAATGTAATACTGACAGTGGAAACACATTAATGGCAGTAAGTTAAACGTATCAATCATTGAAAGTGATGCCAATCTAATGTATTACATTACCATAACACACTTTCCTAAGTGCAGAGAAATGACAGGTGTGTGTGAGACAACATGTATCCTTGTGTATGAACAATGTGTAGAGGTCTCTACCCTGTGCATGAGGTTTGATGATGTCAGGGGCTTCGACCGGTAGGCAGGGGGGAAGGTTGGGGGAGGGGGAGGGTCCCTGAAAGACCTCCCACTCCCCCTTGCTCTCGTGCTCTTTGGGCTGGTTGGGAATATGCTGGAAAAAAAGCGACAGGAAGATGAATTTGAGTGATTGACAGCACACCGTTTGCAGATATTCAAAAAATGCATGGGGTTTTAGAGATTTTTCTTAACCACACACGTTTTGAATGATGTGTGAATCATCAGGATGTTGTTGTCTTACCTCACTGTTGTCCTCTATGAGAACAGCCAGCTGAGTCTCCCTCTTGTGTAACTGACTGATGTGCTTAATGGGGTTGGTCAGAGCCTCTGCATACTCTGAGAAAAACACACACACAAGGTCGTTACTATCATACACAACTGTGACATTATTCTTGAACATCAGCAAAGTTGTATGAAGTCTTTTATGGTAAATCAAGTCTTAAAATCAGGAAACTTTCATTAACTTTAATATTTCTAACGTGTTCCCTGTGATATTGTCTAAAACGTTTTTTAGCAGTAAAGCAGAAAAGTCAACAGTCAGCTAGTAAAATCGTACAAATAGATAGCAAAACATAATGGATGAACAGCTGGAATCTATATCTGAATGTAGTGCCACTTTGGAGTGAAGGGACTGAAGTGTGAGTGTGTTGCAGTGTTGTTGTTGATGTGGGTCTCACCCTGGTGTTCATTGGGGATGTAGTCCTGAGCCTCAGTGTAGACCAGCAGAGAGGGCAGGATGAGCGGCTGGTTCAGCTCACTCTTCAGATTAATGTAGTGGTAGCCTGGAGGGAAGGAGGAAGAAAAGAAAGATGAAAAGAAATACATGAATACTCTCCATTGGTCCTGGAGAGGATAGTGGACAGCAACACTGAGTGCAGAAATACAGGACATCCGCTTTGTAATAACAAGACTTTTCTATGGAAGTCTAAGAAAGAAAAATATCTGGTGATCCATTATGCAACAATCTAAAATCATGTTAGATGCTTTTCTTTAGATGAGGTTTAATTTGTCCATGCATCTTAACAAGTTCATTCAGTTTGAAATCAACATCAGATATTCACCTATTTTCCACAAATATTCAATTAAACATGTTTGTTTAAAGGAATGAGCCTGGCAAACCTTATTTTCACCCGTTCTTACTAAATTAAGAAAATAGATCATACGTTTTTTCATATTGTGTGTGTGTGTGTGTGTGTGTGTGTGTGTGTGTGTGTGTGTGTGTGTGTGTGTGTGTGTGTGTGTGTGTGTGTGTGTGTGTGTGTGTGTGTGTGTGTGTGTGTGTGTGTGTGTGTGTGTGTGTGTGTGTGTGTGTGTGTGTGTGTGTGTGTGTGTGTGTGTGTGTGTGTGTGTGTGTGTGTGTGGTGCTGACCAGGTCTTATGGCTGACACAGGGAGGATTCGATGTCCAATAAACTTTCCATTTTCTTCAAACACCGCTATCCTCAGAGAGGCCAGTGTGGGGAGGACCACCTGCAAAGAGAAGAGGTGATGTCATTGGTGCAGTTAACAATCAGGAGTATAAAGACAGACAATGAAGGCTGACAGGACATTTCACATGACATCTGTATCCTAGTATGCACACCTTATTAAACACAAACATGTCATCGTCCCACACGGGGTCCAGAGAGTTCCCATTGGATGTTTTGGTTCTGTACTTCCTCTTTGTATCAGCAGGAAGTCCAAATATGTCCACTTCCACATACACGCCCACCTTTTTATCAGTCAGAAACTGCCCTGAGATCACCTGGTGGAAATCCAACAAGTTAATTATAACAACTCTTAAGAGAACTTTAATATCTGAATGATGGCATGTTTTGTCCTTACCCTAATTTTAACAGTATTAGCGACTATCCCATCCACTATGTTTTCTGTGAAAGGGTCAAACTGTTTGTCCGTCCTTCTCATGAACTCAGGTTTCAGCAGGTATCCGCTGTGGCCGTTGTACTCAAACACACCCATGTTCAGCTGCATAGGGAGGTCTGGAGGAGGAATGCAGAGAAAGGGGGGAAAGAGATGAGAGGCATCAAGAAAAGTTGGGAAGAGAGGGATTTACAGGGATGAAGACTAAGATGCTTTAGCTTGACCTCTCCGAGTAGGGAATTGTTTATAAGGCTGAATAAGCTTTCTAAATACCACAGTATCTGCCAGCTACAGAAATAAAAACTTAAAAAGACCTTATTTATGGTTCTGTGGATACTTTGTACTTTGAGGCCATCTCATGCTAAACTGCAAAATGACCCTCAGTAGAATGTGCTCAAACAAACAAGGTAGCATCAAATCACATTCCGCTTGTTTACATATTGTATTGTGCCTAACTTGTGGATTAAAACATATCAGGTATGAAATTAATCGGCAGAGGCTTTGGTGAAAGACCAAACTTTTCAATGGATTTCAGTTTTTAATAATAATTATAATACATGTTATTTGGAGGCGCCTTTCTTAACACCCAAGGACACTTTACAATTCATAAAATATTCGGAAAAAAAGGTTAGCAACAGTAAAACCAGACGAAAAAACAAGACTGGAAAACAGCGTTATAGCAACCTGTTAATCACAAGTAAGCAAACGCTGCTTTTTCCTTTCTTTTTGTCAAAATGGGGCAATCATTTACAAACTTAACATCATGCTGTATTAAAGAATGATTGGCAATAGTGTTTCAGATCATAGACTCCTAGTAATAAGTCAAATGAGAAATACGGTCATTTTCTCATAGACTTCATAAATGAGCACAATAGATGTATCCAGGAAAAAGTTCAAAAAGGCTGCGGACAAACTGCGGATACACACAGGAAAGGAGTAGGAGATATAAACGGGACTCACCGAGGGTCTGGAAGTTTAGCGCCACCATCTGGCAGCCGACGTTCCAGAAGAGCTGCGGCATGTAGTTGGAGCTGTCCACCCTCGTTCCTTTAGGGTAGATTCTGCTCAGCTGGTTCTTATTGTACCTGGAGGAGCTCTGTTAAGAACCAAACACTGTATACGTAGCATATGTGTTAGCAGACATCATTTTGTTCATGTTATTTTAAAGTCAAGGCAGCTTTGAAGATTGATACTCCCCCACTACTTTCCATTCTAATGGGCAAAATAGACGCGTTTGAATTTCCTAAAATAAGTTGTCAAAAGGTAACAAGCCTTCAAGGATACTCTACAAACTTGATGGGGGAAGCCTTCAGGATGTCCATGCCTTTTGTTTCCACCAATGAGGACATTTCAAAGTACTTTCTTCTCTCTGGTGGACAGCAAGAGAGAGAAATAAGAGAACAAATTCATTCAGAAAAACCGACACTGTTTTTACTGGTTCAGAAATTGGTTAAAATAGTCAATGTGAGACAGGTCTGTATGACAAGATCAATAACCACAAATGACTCCACCTTCTTTCACTTCATATCTTTCTCATACACTTGTCTTTTTGTATCTCAGTAGTTGTTTTATGTCTCTTTGTAGATGTGTTGTGTCTCATCGTAGTTGCTCTATGTCTCTTTGAAGTTGTTTTACCCCTTTTCATAGTTTTCAATCTCATTGTAGTTGTTTTGGTCTCTTTGGCATAGCTGGTAGGCCTGTTTAGTAATCTGTCCATGCACACACATCCACACACTTACTGTTTGCCACCTCAAAGCTCTTGAATTTGACAGGCTCGATGTAGTTGACAAGAGTGGACATCTCCTCTGTGGCGTTCACCTCACTGCTGGCTGTACCCTGAAGGAGGCAGATAGCACTGATCCATCAATCATCCAGTCACACAACACTTCAGCCCTTCACAACATCATCACCCGCTGGAGGCTCTTACCTCGTCAGAGTTGGGCTTCTTCTGGTCTGTCACCGGTTCGTCCTCCTCATCCTCCTCGCTTTCTCCCTCACCCCCTGAGACATGTAATACATACACTTTAGGCAAAACTTATGTCTAACTTAATAAAACTTAAATCCATCTGTGCCTTCGTTTAGAACCCACCAAGGGATTTGCGTGGCTCAGAGTCTTTGACCATCCTCTCAGCTAGCTTCTCCTCTCCGTTAGTCAGCAGCTGGCTTCCCTCGCCATCTGTCAGTGGGCCTTCTACACATTTAACAGGAAACTTGTAGTTTAGTGCAATAAAAGTTTAAAGGAATAACGGTTATTTTAACTCCATTGTAAGCTTGTAAGATCCTATTCCTCAAAACACTCATTAGAGTCAGATGGGAGTAACATTAGAAGTGAAATCAGAGATATAGGTAGTCGCCTGCTCTCACCGTTGTTGTGCGACGGTTGCTCCTCCAGCTCTCTGCGCCGTATGCTGCCGCTACTCGAGGGTCGGTGGTGCTGGTGCTTCTTCTTGTTTTTGATGAGAATCCTCCCCAGCAACTCCTGTGGGGTGGGGAGCGGCTGACCAGGGTCCAGCTGACCAAACACAAAGACAACATGTAACATTTGGAAGAAGAATTAAGGTAAGTAGGGCTGTGTCAGTGATGTGGACCGGCAACATATCAACATAGTTGGTGTTAAGACACACAAGTCACAGGGTTAAACACAAACACTACTGTATGACTTTGTAAATAAAGTTAACAACCTTAAAACTGTTTAAATTAAGAACAGTTTAAGATTCTTAAAACTCGGATAATTGTGTTTAATTTCAAGTGTTTACACTCTGCCTTTTCAAATACTTTGGTAAAAAACTACATTATATACATGCAGATTAAAATGTATAATTAAACACATGAGGAAATGTTTACATATACTTTCTATGAATACAAGCTCATCAGGAATTTCATTCATACAGTATGTACTTCATTTTCGAACCCTGCTTTTACTTTCTCAGAAAAACACTAGAATAAAAATGAAAACATGCACAACTTTCTGCAAATACCCTTATGTACCCCTTTCACCTATAGCATAATAGAAACCGATCACACAAAATGTTTTAATGATCAAATCTGGTACCAGGATGGTGTAAGGTTTTTTTTTAATACAGAGAAATGCATCACAAGTTGTGTCTCAGCAAAAAAATATCATCTGGTTATCACAAGCTGTTTCATCCTTTTGATGGTTTGTAAGTTGATTAACACCATGACTGTGGAGTCAAAGGACATGAGTGTGTTGAATCTTTCCTTAAGGAAATGTCAGTGACAAACCACTTAAGATGCATTTATTTTTGGTCAAAAAAAGGCCTTAAAAGGATACCATAACTGAATGTATCCCACAAGGACATTGTTCACGTCAGATCTGCCTGGGGGTTAGTCTTACCGGATATTTCTCCAGTGGATCGATGAGCAGGGCGTCTCCAAAGATGGTCCTGCAGTACTCTGCCATCTTGGCCTGCTGCTTAGCCCTGACAGAGCAAGAGACACGGGTTACTTTCTCATTTACTTTAACCCTTAAATTAAAACCCAAATTCCTCGCGATTATCAATTGCTGTTATAACAGCCCAGATTTATTCTCGACATCAAGGAAGACTGTTTAAAACTTCCAATAAATGCTTGAATATTGCATCTGGTTCTAGTGATATATACAATATAGCTTTATTTATAGAGCACTTTAAACCTCCAGACCAAAGTGCTGTACAGGCAAATAAACAAAACATACAAAAAGTAACACAGCTCAGCTCACACACCATAAAACAAGTACAAGTAAAAAACAATAGACAATTTAAAAGCAGCGCTCTAAAAGATATACATTTGTCACTTACGAATCTACGTGGTTTTCAAAGGACAGGATGAGGGGGTACGCCGACGTCTTGAAAGCACTCTCTGCTATCGCCTCGATCACCTCCTGCAGGCAGAAAGAATCAAACATTAAAAGGAGCTCTAAACATGTTTTGCTTCAGTTCATTTTTGGCAAGAGGTCCTCATAATAATGTTTTATAGTTTTACTAGCAGAGGAGGAGAAATCGCACCACAGCTGTGGTGGAAAGGGGAACATATAAGTCAATAAACCATCAAATAAACTAGACCCAATGTCTTTTTTTCTATTGAGGTTTTCCAATGAAGCTTTATATGTCTGTCCCCATATCTTAAGAAAATATCTTTATATAGAATGCTAATTTAGAAATTAAATGTTCGAATTAATAATTCATGGTATTTACAGTAACGCTTTTCCAAGAGCTCAAAGCGCTTTACATTATATTACATATACTGTATTAGACATGTAATACATTGAATACTGTGGATAATACGCACAGGAGAAATTTTAGGGTGAAGTGTCTTGCCAAAGGACACAACGACATGCTGTCTGCAGTGGCGGTCAAGGTGGGATTGAACCTGTATATCTGAAGATAAGCACACTAAACCACAGCCGCCCCAATTCATGTTCATGGCTGAAGTGAACATTTAACACCCTTGTAAAATCCCGTATAGTACATATATATGAGAGCAAAGTCTCTTTAACATTCAAACTCAAAAGGGAATCATCCTGTATAATAAATGAAAATCAACCCCACCTTAAAGGGGATCTCAGTGGTCATGGTGAAGCCGTGGGTGATGTAGGGCTCCTCGTCCTGCGGCCGGCCCTTCCAGCAGTCCAGCTCGATGCAGCGGCAGCCGGTCAGCAGCACCTGGCGGTACATCTCCACCGAGGAGAGGCCGGTCAGCTGACCCACTGCACACACACAAAGGAAGGGCAAATGGTTTTATATAAAGATATTCAAAGTTAGCATTGATAAACTCAGGTAGGTACTAGGCTGCATTTCTTGCAAGATAGCAACTAATTATTCTGGTGCAAATTCACTTTGAAATCTGCTTTGAAATTACCTAAAATTCTGGCGAGAAAAGCTATTGATGCGGAAATGGTCAGGAATGAAGTCTCCTCTACTTCCATTAGAAAAACTGTAATCGTAATCACTGGGTACTTTGACTCTAGAAAAAACATGACGCTCTTTCGATAGATGAACTCTTTTTTTGCAGAAATGTAAGAAACCATTGCAATGGTTTTTGATATGATCATTGTAATATTGTTTTCTGAATTTAAGTTAATTATACCTGTGTAAAAATGTCTGAACTGGGGACACTGAGCATTAATCCATATATACAAAAATGTGCATTTAATGTCACCATTGTCTGTCTCTTACTATAGTTGCCTCATTTCTTTATTTTGTATCTTTCAAGGAGCGGTCCTGTAACATTTTGTCTGTACGTTTAATTCTTTGGAAAATGTTGAATATTAAAAAAAAGTCAAAGCAAAAGAATGCAGCATCATACGTGTGTTAGTTCTGAGGTGTGTATCTTTTTTACCTGTGAGGTATGTGTTGTGTGATGAGTTGATGAAGTAGTGAGACAGAGGCTGATTCATGTCGTCGATGATATCCAGCCTCTCTGGAGGAACGATGCTGTTTTCTTCTCCTCCCAGATACCGAGTGAAGGCCTGCAAACTGATCTGATCTGAGACAGAGAGATGGGGAGAAGAATGAAACGTGTTAACCTGTAGTTAGAAAAGGTCAAACTTGTTTGGGGCTCTGAAGATTTGAAGGGCAGAGACTGGAGGATACTATAATTAAGTGACGTCATGTGCTCGATTACAAACTGACAAAAAGGCTTCTGTTTTCTGACTTAAAGGGAGCTCTAGCTGAGTCTGAACACTGTGGGCTGGATTCTTGATTACCTCACAGTTGTTGGCTTAACAGTGTCCTAGCAGGGCAGCTAACGGCAGACAAGGCTGTGCAAGTTCCACAGTTTTTCCACAGCAACACATGTCGAGGACATTTGATCAAAATCGCAGCTGATTCCCACATTCTGGATGAGAACAGATATCTATGTCAGTGGATGTCTAAGGATTTAAGAAAAGGACAACCTGATGCTTACAAGAACCAGGAATAAATCATACCAATAAACCTGTAATATTCTCAGTACTACTGCAGCTGGTAAACACTGCTTTGGGATAAACAGATCAAATCTACAAGAGGACACAGCTGCACGTACTCTGAGCTCTTGTTTTGAACCCTTATTTACGTGACATGATTCTCTTTAAGTGTGGGTCTTTGATTCAGCAGCTAAATAAGGTCAGCGTATCCTGGATATGACCTTGGATGATCTTTGGGCAGCTAATTAAAGGTAAAAAAAACAGGACTGATTTATATTAGCAGCACTGTGTATTTTTATCGAATGGAACATTTGTATTCAAAGTCCAACGTCTTCTAAGGTCTTGTTTTATCAGTTTAATATGAAATAAAAAAGAGAAAGCAGGATATGTCGAAATAAGCTGAATTTTTTTTTGCTTTTTGGCATGAGAAATTACTTCAACAATAATTTATTTGGCCATAAGCTTATTGTTTAGTTGATTGATCTTTTCAGCTCTATTAATCACACAATGGAATTTCTACCAGGTTGTAAGCTATGTTTTTTTTATCAGTATCAAAAGCATGAACACCCTTCCAGAGGTGAGGACATACAAATCCAAGCTAATTTTGTTTGTCTTTACATCTCTGTTCTGTCAAATGCTGGTGCATGATGCAGAAAGAACATTTGATTGCAGCTGCAAATTCAGATTTCTCTGTCAATATAGCCCATGTTGTTGCTTAATTCGAGTACACAAGCCATCGACATAAAATGATTCTCATAAATGAAGATCACATGTTTTATCTGCTCTGGATACAAGCATCTAAATGTCAGGAATGTGTACACATAAATAAAGAACTCTCAAAGTGACGTACCTCTCTCCAGCTGGCTGACGTTGGTCTCGTATTCCTCCATGATCTGTCGGACCTGCTCTCTCTTCAGGGGGGGGTACAGCACCTCGTTCAGTCGGGAGTCTCGCTGCCTGTGGTTAATGAATTCTATCAACTGGTCCAAAGAGATGAACGGCTTCCTCTTGGAGCCACTGCGAAAGAGAAAAGAGTGTGTGTGTGTCACCGATAAAGGTTGCTGGCATTACAAGGAATCCTACAAATACAACTAGAGCACCATTATGAAACGATTTAGGGTGGGGGTTAAACCTTTGGACAACATAATGGAAAGAGATTGGATTTGTTTGTAAAAAAAAAATGTTATCACATACCTTTCCTCAAAGATGCTTTGTATCTCAGGCCGGAGACAAAGGCTTTCAAGAAACTTCTGGAAGGCGTCCCACGTGAAATCATCTGGCTTGATTCCCTCGGTCTGCTGAAGGAGAACAAACAAGATTGTATAGAAAGATATGGAGGGAAAAGAAAGAAGGAAAATGACCAAACTGAGGATAAAATACTAAATGTAACACATGTAAGTCATTCTAATCTTTACTAATGATCCCCAAAAACATTGAAATACTGTAAATGTTAAGGGCTGAAGATAATTAAGCCCAGAATTGTGGATCAGATGTCCTTCTGTCTTTTCCCTCTACATGTGTGTTCTGCTACTCTTCCAGCAGGAGGCACCAGAGCACAACAATACAAAGAGAAGTGCTGACAGTGCAGTTTGCCCAATCTTACCTCTTACTCAAAAACGAAATGTCTTGTGACTCTAAACTGATTTTCAAGAAAGATTGCACTGATCAATTAGACAAAAAGAACCTTGTTGTTCACCTAACAAACCACACGCCTGCGGTCCCTTTCACTGCAGAGACTTTTAGGTTTGACAGAATGAATGAAGCCTGGGTTTCTGTTTTTTTAACAGTTGGAAATGTATTAGGGACTATTGTGCAACTTCTCACCTACTTGATATCTTGTTTATGCAACCTTAAAATGGGGTTACTATTGTGTCTTCATTTTGCAATCAAGCATAAGACTTTTGCACTGTCAATAACTGCAATCTAAAGTTTTGTTTGCGAATCCAAACGTTTAGTTTGATGTTGCCCTAAATGTGAGTGACAGCTTGGCATCATCCGCAGTTAATAAATGAGAGCTGTGAATCGATGTGTGCTTATTAAACATCCGTGTTGGTCGCAGCCAAACTTCTGGTTTGGCAAGCATAGCTTTGGAATTCTTCTTAGCACAACTCTTTATCTTTTTAGATTGCAGACACATTTGCTCTAAAGTCTTTTTGACTGTATATTAAAGAGAAACCCCATACCTTAATTGCAACAGGAAAAAAAAATGGTATAACATTTAGGAAAATAGACGTATTTATTCAAAGTTAGGTGATAAGATTTACACTACTCGGTAAATATGAAGGTACCAGTAGCTGGTTAGCTTAGCACAAAGCTAAGTAGAAAAATCTAGCTGTGACTGCGAACCAGTATTTAAAGTCATTAGCATTATATATGTTGTTTGTTTCATCTGTGCCAAAACAATCTTAAACTCTTGATTAAAGTTCATTAAAATGTCCACTTTAAAGCTACTCTCCCACAAGCCTGCAGCCTTTGGTGCCTTTCTAACAGAGCAAAGGCATGCAGAGAATGCTTTGCAGCACCCCAGGGTGACGGACTGATTTGCAACTTTTCGAATTTATGAACCAACATACTGAACAGGCATTTTTAAAGCTGCGCTGTGGTCAGTGATGGTTTCAGATGATTACCTTGTTATTGACGAGGCCACACTGCTCCAGAGCCGTCTCCACTCTCTTTTTATCTGAGAACATCTTGAGGATACTGACAGAAAGACAGAGAGTTTGGAGAGTTAGCAGTCATTATTCAAAAGGATTCCTTTAGCATGATCATCAACAGTGAGGAGGTAAAACCAAAAGTGAACTTAAGACGAGAGAAAGTGGAAGAGAGACAGAGAAGAGGAAAGGAAATGAAGAAGTAGAGAGCACTGGTGTTTACAATTCTGTACAGAGTTTAAAATGTGGTAGATGTGTGTGTTTCTCACTTCTTCACAGGAATCTTCCCATCCTGATTCACCTGCAGCTTTAACTTAGTGTACCTGAAACAGAAATACAGGGTTTAAAAACCAATATCTGAAATCTACAGTTCCCGAAAGTTAAGATAAGACTTCTTCTTACGCTTTGTGCAGGAAGGTGTTCCGCGATGCGTTCTGGGAAAGTATGTTTGTGGCCAAGGTGAAGAGCTCATCTGTCCAAATCTGGAAACACACATAACAGGGTTGTTTAACTCTTCGTCTGATGTCAAAACTAAGTGGAACAGTTACTATATACACACCACACACACACACTCAGAGGAGAAATCCCTCTTTACAACCCCTAAACACGCACATGCCTTGATGTCAACATCGTAAAGTGAGCAATTAGCATATGTCCTGAGGAAAGAAGGAGACAAGTTTAGGGGATAAGGAGAGAGGATGGAGAGATGACAAGAGGAAGATAAAATAAAAGGGAAAGTTCAACACTTAACCTGTATTAACCTGTCTAACCTGTATCGCTATTTATTAATCTAGATTGTTTTGGTGTGAGTTGATCACAAGCCTCTTGCCCATGAGACAATGAACGCTTCCCTTTGTGTGGTAATACAGTTGTGAGGTGTAGTTTGGTATCGAGAAAATAGTTCCTACAGGAAACACAAGGTGGAAGAAGTACCCGGATGATTATTGTGTTTAAATACTCGATTACAAGTAAAAGTCAAAATGTCAATTAAGTAGTAGTAATTAGGAGTTTTATCAGCAAACGTTCTTTCCTGCGTGAAAATCATAATAACAGAGTGTTATATTACTATAGAATATTATATATTGCTGTTTTTATCACAAATAAATGCATATAGGAGCATGCTCATGTTGTATTTTGTGTATTTAAAATGGTTTAATACTGTGTTCAGGAGTACTGTATCATATCAATAAGGCATACATGGGTTTCCGATTTGAAAGTAACTACAAGCATTAAATAAATGTTGTGCAGTAAAAAAAAAGTACATTTATGTCAAAGTAGTACTAAAGAATGGGACTTGAGAAAATGTACTCAGATGAAACTGCTTACAACTAGGTCTATAGCCAACGTCGATAATCTTAAGTAACCGTATTGTCATTTCTGAAAAAATATAATGCTTTTGTGGTTTTGAATAAATGTTTTAGGCGAGTGCCATCCGCTTATATTGTAAAGAAGGCACACCTATATAGGCAGCTCATATTTAAACAATCTAGATTGAGTTTGGGTGAACTGTTCCTTTAAAGCCAGGTTTAAGTGAGTAGGTAATTGGACGGTGGTTTCCATGGTTACCTTGGCTGTATCTTCCTGCATGGCCTGGAAGTTCAGGTAAGAGATGTTGACCAGGTCATTGCCATAGACGACGGTTACCAGCTTCCTCTCGACGCTCTCCCCCTTAACGAAGCCGAGCACGTCCCGCAGCTTGGCGTCCTGAAACAGAAACACACACTTTTTATAGACACACACTTTGCATACATAATGTATCGACCACAACACTCTCCATCCTTCCCGCTCCAGCTCTCGGTCTCCTGAGAACAGTAAATGTGATGCATGTGGTGTAGCACTCTGATCTAATTAACTAAACGACTCTTTCCTCCTTTTTAGACTCTTTATCTACCACCAACCGTCTCTAACACTCAATGTCTCTCCATCACTTCCTCTCTATCATGTCTCCCTTTCATTCCAATTTAACTAATCAACTCGGATGGACGTTCATCAAGACAAATCCGGCCAAAGTAGCGCACAAAATGTACTCAAGCAGCAAGCGAGAGTTTAGAGGATCAGTGCAATCAAATTACGGAGAAAACAAACAGCGTCCATGTGACTCAAGACGTTACACAGGCCTCACTTTAAACAGTTTTCTCTGAAACCATAGAAATAGTCCTCGTAAAACTGTTGACAGCGAGTTCTGTGGATTTTCAAGAGCAACATTGCATCTGGATATAAACATTTTAGATAGAACATCTACAGTGTGTCCCACACACAGTACGGTTTGTTAACGGCCGCCAAAGCATCCCTGCTGAACCTGTTCACATGGCAATCGCAACAACGGTAAAACAGAAGAAGAACACAGACAAAAAATAGAATCAACCTTGAGTCCACCAATTGTTATTTTTCAATCGGTGGGAACCATCATTATTTGCAAACATTTTAAGAAAATAGATAAAGGTGTAGTGTAGATCTCCAACAATAAGTCGACCAACGATTGAGGCAAGCTGTGGCTCAGGAAGTAGACGGTAGTCGTCCAATTGGAAGGGGTAGTGGTTTGAGCCCCAGTCCATCAGGACGACATGTCTTTGGGAAAGATATTGAACCCCAAATTGCTCCAGATGGCATTGCGAACAGTGTGAATGTTAGTCCACGTTTGGGATTGGAACCTTGTATGGCCACCTCTGCCTCTGTAGGGATGTGTGTGAATGCTGGTTTGTGCTGTAAAAGCGTTTTGATTGGTCGCAAAGACTGGAAGAGTGCTCCATGAATGCACTCCTTAAGTATTACACAGAGAAGTAGCTGAATATCATCTGGAGTTTACAAATGGTTCGCCTCTGTCCAAATGTGTCTGTCTACTGTATGTTCTTAACACAGTGTGGTCAATGTGGTAGACACAACTTCATATGCAATCATTTAAGAAGGACATAGTACACATAGTACTGATAAAGCAGTTTGACCAATATACAGATCATTCTATTTAGTTAAAATAAATAATAAACAATAAGTAAAAACATTTAAATAATGATAATCTATTTATCATTTAAAGAGCTGTTTTTATTTAATCCACCCGTGGTTTGGTGCAGTTCAGGAGGCATACACTTAGGTTTCTTTTACCCAGGGTTTTCTCTGATAACATCTCTGTAAACTATCTGCAGTTTGTGACTTTAGGCAGTTGAACCAGTCTGATATGATTCTTTTTTGTTTCTTCTCTAAAGACCACATTTCGAAATAACTTACCATGTCATCACCACATGACAGCCTACATTTCACATAATAGATCCTAGAAATGCTGTTTTCCTGACATTATGCCTAAGATTTTTGGTTTGAGTTATTAGCAAATAACTATAAACTCTTAACCAAATGAAAGCAGAATCAAATGTCACAGTGACAGCTGTTTTGTAACCAATTTGAGCCAGGAGGCAGCATATGTTTGAACCACTAAAGCCACTGGCAGCGTAATATCAGCGTCTCCTTCAGCCTGATCTATGTCTTACAAAACGACTTCCTCGCTAACGGTCACTGGTTATATCACTTCCTGTCTGAGAGCCCATCTGTCAGCAGGCTCATTAACGCTCCGTCACCTTTGCACCATCAGCTGAGGGAGGAAACACTCGCAGACAGTGGACACACACGGTCACATCTTTCTGTGACAGTCACACGTCTGGTCAGAGGACAAAGTTATCAACAGCAGAAGGTGACAGCTTCTTTCTCTATATAACACACACACACACACACACACACAAAATTACACACATATACACACATTACTGACCTTTGGTAGTTTGGCGTATTTTCCTGTCCTGGTGTCCCTGATGGTGTTGATGTCCAGAGTCTCCACCTCCTATAAAACAGATTAAATAAAATATAAATAAATAAAAAGATTGAGATTAGTGTCAGTCAATCCCTAATTGATCACTTATTTTGCATCAATGACAGAAATTCCCCAATTGTATCAGTAATAGCTGCCTGTAGAAATATATTATTAACTCAACCAATGAGGTAATGTCTTTTGGTTGTCAACAGGATTTGCATTTCATTTTTGGAGCAGCTCAGAATTTTGGTATTTTTGAATGGAAACAAATGAGTAGCCATCATTTTTGGTGTACTATTCAGTATCACTGTTGAAAATCAGGGAAAGAGGAAGCAGTGAGATTAGCTGTAATACATAATCACTTACAATATAGGGACAGTTAAGGGCCTACACACATTTATTTGTTTAACAAAAGGCCATACCATCAGCCTTAGCTTTCATTTATGCTAAAACGCACATGTTTTCATGCTAACGGAAGAAAACATGGGCGTTTTGGTGAATGTAAACTCAAAACAACAACACCAGTCAAAGGTTTTTGTTTTTTTAAAGTAACAAATGGTTTTCCTGGTTTCAGATGTGTTGTGAAATACTGAGTTTGGTCTAACACTTCTCAGATTGACAGTATCAGAAACAGGATATTTAGAAAACACAGGGCAGAATACACAGATGAATTGACAAATTACAATGATGAAAAACAGGGATTTTAAGCTGTTTTTTTAGATAAGGGCTCAAAAAAATCGGGCCATATTGAGGTCAAGGGGTGATATTTGATGCGCTCGAGTAGAGGGTAGAGTTTGCAACCACAGGAAATGTACATAAACAGGTATGGGTGTAAGTATGTTTACACACCATATATTATAACATGTTCTGCTGTTTGCAATTCATAGCAACAAGCAGAAATACTGATGGAATACAAATGTATTTTTGATATGTTTATGCCCTCGACTTTCTCTTTCCACGTTTGTCTATCTTATCAGTCTCTTCTGCTTTTTTAGACATAAAACACAGCAGTGACATATGTATTGTTTGTTTAAAAAAACAAAACTGCACACACAATTTGGGTAACATTTGCATAACTGATGTTGCGACACAAGTAGTGTTTGTATCCATGCATGCATGCAAAAACGGGAAATCCACAGAGAGAACATATGAAAAATAGTTTGCACTGCATAACAGTAAACAGCGACCCAGCGAGGACCATTAACCTGAAGGAAAAGTGGTCTGGAAAGGCAGAGAAAGAGCGGAGGATGGGGATGACAGGAGGAGGAGTGTGTGGTTGTAAAGCCACCATAAACAGAGGAGGGCGCACTGTAAATATTTGTTTAGCCGTGCACTCAATCCCCAAGCTTTCTACTACATGTATGTCACTCATCATTTTTTCTCCTTATATCTGTGTGGCTTTGCTGGCTGTATTTTAAGGAATCTATTTGCGCTTTCACTTTTTACAAATGTTTATGTTGCTCTTCTTGTTACTCTGTCTGACTCTGGGTCTGTTTGCTCTCCCCATGTTTCCGTTCCAATAACCAACACAGAATACATCTCATAAGGTCACTGTCCCTGGCCTCCAAGTATTATAAACTCTTCTCTCATTACCTCACTTGGGCATGTGATGTCATCGCCCTGCTGGCTGTGTTGCTCTCCTGGGATTGGCCGTGGGGTATTAAAAGGTCAGAAATACTGGACCAATGGGCATTACACTCTGTCTCAATCAACTTTGTCCTCTGATTGGCCTGTGGAGGGAATAAAGGAACTCAATTCCTGGGGGGAAGTGGAACCACTGCGGGGGCTGTGGGACCACACACACACACACACACACACACACACGACACACAAACACACACACACACACACACACACACACACACACACACACCACACCACACACACAACACACACCACACACACACACACACACACACACACACACACACACACACACACACACACACACACTACACACACACACACACACACCACACACACCCACACACACACACAACACACACACACCACACACACACACACACCACACACACACCACACACACACACACACACTACACACACACAACACACACACACACACACACACACACACACACACACACACACACACACACACACACACAACACACACACACACACACACACACACACACACACACACACACACACACACACCACACACACACACACACACCACACACACACACACACACACACAACACACACACCACACAACACACACCAATTAATCTCCCCCAGGCCCGTGGTTTCCATTCTGCCATTACCATTGCGCTCCTTGGAGACCGCCCCGTAGTTAATGAGCACTAAAACTTAGTCTGTAGTGTGTGTGTGTGTCTTTAACAGTTCACATTTTCTTACTAGCTAGTAATGCAAGACACACACAGACGCAGCGATATGCAGACAGGCATATCCTCGACATGCAGGTCCTGACTTGTGAAACATCCTGACCTGTTGTGCAACTAAGACAGGGTGTGTGTGTGTGTGTGTGTGTGTGTGTGTGTGTTAAAGATGTGATGCACGTGACACAGAAGCGAGAGCAATTCTTCACGAGCAAATCTTCGCGCGGAAAGAGTACAAATGTGTCAGCATGTGATCTGAGAAGTGTGTGAACGCGAAGAAGAAATGTGTGTGTCTTGGCACGCTGCTGTGTATCCGAGCGCACAGCGTGGTGCGTGTGTCCGCGTGAAGGTCGCTCATCCCAGCAAGCACATTCCTAACATATTCCTGCCTTCTGCTCAGTTAGCGTGTGTGTATCTGTGCGTTTCAGTGTGTAATATTTAGCTCGTCGTGGCAGCTGTTGCGCTCCATTCATCCCACGGAGCCCAAACACAGCTCGCTCCATTTATCTCCCCTGACTGGGCTGCAGGCTCATTGTTGCTTCAAATGACTCTTGTGTTGTGACAAAGTGCTATACTTTACTTTAATTGACTCTTTTTTTCTTACTCAAGTACTTCTGGCTCGCTTGCTGATTTCCTACAGTTTCCACAATGCACTTCTTCACCACTCCCGTGAACTTGTTGCACTCAGCGGCTGATTGTGTGGGCGAGGAGTATTGCTAGTTAAAAAAAAGGTGTAGTTGTTATTGCAGCGGCATGTGCTGCAATGCACTGTGGTCTATTGAGTCTAGAAGAGTTTCAACCTCCCTTTGTAGTTCTAATGAAGAGACATAAACATTTCTAATGATGTTTTATATTAGATTTGTTTCTGCCATCAACCACAGAAGCCCTGAACTTAGCTATTGCTGCTATATCATTTTACTGGTCAATTCATTGTGATTCATGATATTATCCTGAACCATCAGAATATGCTTTAAACTTTTACAATGGCACTAAAACATACTGGAATCAACCTGGGGGGGCAGAGCCATCTGGAACTCACTCCCCAAACACATCCGTGACTGCCCCAATCTCAACATGTTCAAATCTCACCTTTTCTGCTGCTTTTAATCTGTAATTAATGTTGTGTTTTATATATTTGAAGTGTTTTTATCTGTAAAGTGTCTTTGAGTTTCCAGAAAAGCGCTGTATAAATAAAATGCATTATTATTACTACAGTATCCCACATTTGGATAAGAGGACTATATCATAAATCATAAGATCACCATGACTAAAAAGAGAATAAATAATGATTTTTTTTATTACATGATAACTCCTGTATTTTTTAAACCAGGCTTCACTTCACTTCTAAAATGATAGATTTGTTATCACATCCACGATAAGTTACTATTTCCTCCCTGATAGCATAAATAAGATTATAATTCATGACATAGTATCCTATAGGGTAATTGGGTTGCCCTTCTGCAGTTGCGTGCAAAGGTGGGTTTGATGCAACAATTGCTATAAGGTTAGTCTATTGTTAGACACTACACACAAGCAAGGTAAATGCTACTCTGATTAGGTCCTTGTTCACTGACTCCTTTCCTTCCTTTATTTATTTCTTTGATGGATTCTCCACTTCCCCCTATTGCCACTCTCCCATTCATTTTCTTAAGATTAAAAAAACACAAAAGGGCAACTGAACAATCCAAAGAGTGCCACTCCTTTCCTGTGACGCGCCTGCGAGTGCGTTTCAAAGATCAGCACAGCTAAATAAGCCTCCAATAACCAATAACAGCTCCTATCAGATGGCACATGATGACGGCATAAAGGAAACTGATCCACCTTGACACGTGAACACACACAGCGCCAGAGCAGCACACATCTCCCCCTCTGGGGAGGTAGTTCGACAGAAGAAGACTTTATAGGACATAGAAACATGGGAGAAGTAGAACAAAGAGACCTTCAGATTGTTTTATGGCCGTGATGGGAGAGATGGCAAGGTGTTTAGAGAAAAAGAAGGAGAAGGACACTTTATACGCTGTGAAACATGGGAGAGCCCTGGATCTCTTTCTCTGTCGCCTCGTAATATTTCCTCTGCGTGAGATAACGCTCTGCCTTTTATCTCTCCGTCTCGTTCTTTGTCTTTCACTTTGTTTCATTAATCTGTGGTCTGGAAAGAGAGCAAACATTTTAGTCACTTAGCTAAACAGTCTGATCCGGAGTCATTTGTAATCAGTGAATTATGAGCACAAATACAAAGCAGTAGAAGTGCTGCAAAGCTGGAAAAAGAAACAATAAATGAAGTCCAAATGTGCGAAGCGTTTATGAAAAAGTTGGAAATCAATACCAAATGTCCCAAAACAAATAAATAAATGCAGGACTTGGCCCAATTCACACGATAACTCACACACAACAACTGCAGTAATCATAAATCTCTCACACATAAATCAGGGAGTGAACCCAAACCTGCATGTGCAGGCAGATGCACAGAAACAAAGCAATAAAAGATCCAGAAAGAGTTGATGAAACCACATTCTTGGGAGGTGGAACAAAGAAAGAGTCAACATTAATGTTCATATTAAAAAAGGGAAAACTATGGCAAGGAGGTCAAAGCTGAATCAGAATGTCTGTGTGTGATTTGTGAGGGATGTATTACATTTAGTCATATACATTTTTGTAAAGCGCT